CAAGTAAAAATCCATAAGTCTACTATATCAAAATCTTTATTATAGATGCAAGAGCTTTCATGCATTCTACAAAAGAAAGCTCAAATTTTTTTATATATGCCACATCTATTTTAAATTAAAAAAAAAAAAAAAAAAAAAAAAAAAACTTCAAGTGATATTTCAAGCCAATATCAAGATTATCATGATGTTTTTGAAAGAAAATATAAATATTCTTTTAAATCATTATTCTTATGATTATTCAATCAATCTTCAAGAAGGAGCTTAACTACTATTTGGACCAATTTATAATTTATTAAAAAAAAAAATAGTTGTAATCAAAGAATAAATTGACAAGAATTTAGCTAAAAACTTCATATGCCATTCTAAATTTTTAGTAAGATCTCATATTTTATTTGTAAAAGAAAAAAGATGGATCTTTGCAAATGAATATAGACTATTAAGGATTCAACAAGATCATTATTAAGAATATTTATCCTCTACTTTTAATTTCAAGACTTCATAATGAACTCAATCAAATAAAGATTTATATAAAATAGATCTACAAGGAGCATACAACTTGATATGCATCAAAAAAAGAGATGAATAAAAAATTATATTTTCAACTAAGTATGAGCATTTCAAATATAATAATATACCATTTGGACTCATGAATGCATGATCTACTTTTCAACATTTAATGAATGATATCTTTTGTAAATTTCTTAATAACTTGATTGTTGTTATTTGGATGATATCTTAATATATTTTCAGAATATTGAAGAGTATGAACTTCATGTTTATTGTGTATTACAAAAACTAAAAAATTTAGGATTATATGTCAAGATAAAAAGTATGTATTTTATACTATTCAAGTTGACTACTTATGATATATTATTTCAAATGATGGCCTTATGATCAATCTTAAGAAGGTCTAGACTATCATGGATTAGAAGATCCAAAAAATACTCAAAAATATACAATATTTTTTAGAATTTGTCAACTATTATTAGATCTTCATCAAAAACTTTTCTTAAGTTGTAATTCCTCTTACATGCTTGATATGTAAAGACAAACTTAAGTGGAATAAAGAAGTTGAAGGATCTTTTAAAGTCTTATAAAAAATATTTATTTCTATATCAATTTTGTAACAAATCAACTTTTTCAAGGTATTTTTCATAGAAATAAAAGCATCAAATTTTGCTATGGGTATTGTTTTGTCATAAATAGGAACAAGTTACAAGTTCTATCTAATAGTTTTCCATTCCAAGAAATATTTAGCAGCCAAAATTAAGTACAAGATTGACAACTAAACTCCTTGGAAGAAAAGATTCATTTCAAGAATGGTATTATTATCTAGGAAACACTTCTAGTTTATTCACATGTATATAGATCACAAGAACCTCAAGTACTTCATATTGGCATGTATTTTAAATCATCACCAAGCTTGTTAGAGTATATTCTTATTAAGATTTGATTTCAAGATCACTTATCGATTCAAAAAAATAACAAGAATTCTTGTCTTGAAAAATATGATAATATTTATAGCCTAATGGTTCTCAATCAATAGATTTTAGGCAATCAAATCTAGGTTCTTATACTTTACAAGTCATCCCAAATGGTTGCCATGTGTGAGTCACCAAAACAATTCAAGGGTGGTTTTAGGACGAAAGTGATATGCATTAGTGATAAGTTCTCTCCCTCATATCAATGTGAGTGTTAAGGGATTGGCCCTCCACATTTGGGTGGATGAGGCCTAAGTGCTGTTAGCTGCATCTACAGGGGTCTATGTTTGGTGCTAGTCTCCCTCTTCTTTTCCTCCTTTGTTTTTGTGTTGGATAGAGTGTAGAAAGCAGAAGCAGCTGGGTTTAAAGTTTTTTGCTTCATATTCTTTTTGTTTGACTGCTACTGTGCAGCAGCCTCCTCTTCTTTTTTTCCTTCTATGTGTGGAAAAGTGTCATGGTGGTGGGGGGAATCTATACCCAGTTGGATTTGCGTTGCTTTTGATTTTTTTTTTCTTCTCTTCTGGATTGCGGCGGAAGCTAGCCGCCCAGGTGTTTTGCTGTGACGGCTGTACGTTGAGGCTGGAGCAAGGTGGCATTGCTAGTATGTTGGCAGTTTATGTGTGGTAATTGTGATGCGACAGCGATAAGAGTGTTGTGCATTGTAGCGCGGTGTGCTTCGGTTGGTTCTGATCCTATTTTTATGGTATTAGTGTTTCTTGGTCTGTATGGCGTTGTCTCTGGTACTGAAGAAGTCATCGTTGTGGCGGAAGGGAAGTAATGTGTAAGTAGATACACAATCGAGGGAGAGGAGCAGTAATCCGCTTAGATTAACTCTCATCGTTCCAGAAGAAGGTATACGTCCAAGTCTACCGTCATCGAGTGTGAGTGCATATATCATTGTTGGAAATCCTAAGAACAAAGGCAGCAGCAACGGCAACATCTAGTCAAAGATCGACTTAGAGCAATTTCGGACGACGACGACATGGATTTTGTAGTAGAGTGCATTGTAGGGATGGTCCAACGAGCGTTAGTGTGGTGATAAAAATTAGGTGGAGTGTGTTGTGGTAAATCATCATTCCGAAGTAGTGCCGAGTACTCCATTCGCCGATCAGCTTCAAGTTCTCCCTTAGATTGTCGATGTTTTTTTTCGTAGGATACATCAATTGTTATAGACAGATCTAAACTCTAGATCTGCATAGAGGCATTTTAGGATCTACTAGCATGCCATTACATAGTTGGTACTTGAGGTTCAGTTTTGAAGTCGTGATTGTAAGACTCAACTAGTTTTATAGTTGTTGATCAGATCAATTATAGTCGCAAACAATGCTAAAAAATGAGTTCACATCTTTGAATTTTTGATCACTTTCAACGCTGCCAAGAGACTGTATTCTCCTCTCGTTTAATGGTTTTGTTACTGAACAGCAAATTTGAGCCCTGGTATGTGCGATTTAGTGACCAATCAGGGTGATTCTGTAACCGCAATTTTTTGTGGAATTTTGGAATTCTCACGCAGCTCTGACGAACTTCAAATCACGTGACTTGTTTCAACACAACCGTATTGCGAACTAGTGTCTAAAACATTTGGAAGATCTTCTTTAGAAGCTTTTGGAGTGTGACGATCTATGGAGAAAGTCTATTTGGAAAAAAAAAAAACGAGGTCCTATCATGGAACAAAACGGAGGTAAAGGACTTTGCAATAATAGGATGAGCGACTAGGGGAAATTGGCAAAAGTTATGGTGGCGATACTACTTTGAATCAGGGTTGCCTGCATCTCCTCAAGGCGTGAAGAATGATCTGTTGAGAAGCTCATTTCACGCTGAATCCGAGTATAGAGCTTTAGAATGGTGGGGTCATAAATGACAATAGCGATTTCCCTTCCATCATTAAGGTGATCAAGCAACTGGGGCAGGTTTGGATTCCGATTCACAGCAAGGTGACTCGTATGTCAAATTCCTCCGACCAGTGAGGTTCTTGGAAGGCTGAAGTTAAATTAGGTCAATTGAAATAGATTCGGATGAATTAGGTTTAAATGGATGATAAATTATAGATGAGTATTGGATGAATTTGGATGAATTCTCATTTGTAGATGAAAAGTTCTTTGTGGATGAAGTTTTTCCTTAGATGAAAATTTAGAATTGGATGATAATTAATACTAGATAAATAAAAATAAAATAAAAATTATGTGAACTTTGATTAAATTATTTAAAAATATTGTCTTTGAAGTGAGTTTTTTTTTTTTTTTTTTTTTTTTTGAGTTATTTAAGTGCCTTCTATTGTTTTTGTAGTTGTGTGAGAGTGGTTTTTAAATAGTTAAGAGAATTAAGAATTTAAGACAAAGTAGGAGACAACTTAAGCAATTACATTGGAAGCTAATTAATAGTTGTGAATTGGAATAAATCACTTACTAGAGTGGTTTATTTTAGATCACATCTAAGGAATTCTTGAAGTTGTTGGACATGAATCAAATGTTTTCTTAGCTTGTGTTATAAGTTTGGCATTTAGTACACATATTGGAAACTTGCCTTATAAATTAGAGACATGTGTCTCAAGTTGGATACGTGTCATATGTCTTACAAGTCATCACCATGTAGTTCTTTGGTAGATAGTATATATGGAAGCAAAAATGAGACCTTCTTCACTGTTGTCAATGTCTTTTTTGTGTTCTATCTTGGTCCAAGACTTCTTAGTCCTTTTGCATTTGACAATAGTTATTTTAATTTCAATTATATATCTATATTTTAATTATCTTTTTTTACTAATATAAGAATATATTGTTATTTTAAGATTTTTTTTGTGATTCATATCCTTAACACTTGCAACTATATATGTAGAAATGGTTTTTTTTTAAGCTACATAAAAATATAGTTGTTTTATTGATATAACAATAATAACATTATAACACACTTTCTATAATAACCCACAAATCAAATTATAGGGATTTTAAGCTACAATACATATTCTATTTCTATCTTGATCTTAGATTTTACAAGTCGTTATAGAATTTTAAAGTTATTAAATTATAGAACAATAACAATAGGTCAAAAAAATAAATTGAAGCACTATTTCTTTCTTTCTTTATATTTTGATCTTTGCTATGTAATTTTTATTATTATAATTTATTCTTCTTTTAGAAGAAAAATAAAATAAAAATGTGTTTATTATACAAGAAATTTATTGAAATCCAAAGATTAAATTAATATCTAAAAAAAACTTGAATAAATTATGCTATTGAAGAAAGACAAAAATATTTACATCATTGATTGCATTGGTTACTTTTGAAAAAATTGAAGTTAACAAGTAAATAATATATAAAAATTCCACCTATAATGTCACCTATAATCGTAAAAGGAATCAAAAGGAAACTCAAGCAATCCACCCTCATAGTCGCAATCAAAAGGGAAACTCAAGCAAACGCTATTTCAAAAAGCAAAAGTGAAGCCCAAGAAAGGAGAGAGACCGCGGCCTGCGTGATTGACTGACTGACTGGCGGACAAATTGACGGACGGAGGGACGGACTGAGTGGCTCACTACTCACTACCTGACTTGCTTGGCCAGAGTGAGTGAGCGAGCGAGGCCTCGTTGTTGCGGAGGAGCGGGGCATGGGCGTGCACATTGCGCAGCACTCTCGCACTCTCTCTCACTCTCGCCATCCATGCTCGCAGGTGAGTGGGTGAGTGCTCTGTCTCTCAGATCCCATCCCTCGCCCCTCGTGGGTTGTGTTCTTTTTTGCCGTGGAATAGCGTCTCAGCGTTGGATTCGCTCGAGGGCAGAAGTTCTAGGGTTTCGAGGCTTCGAAGCAGGTCTCTGATTTTGCCAGATTCAGTTTGCGAGTTGTATTCGCGAGGGATACTTTTTGGGGTGATTATATTCTTTTTCTTTTCCCGTGGGTCGGTTTTTTTTTTTTTTTTTTTTTTTTTTTCTCCCTCTCCGCGCGAGATCTCGTGGGTCACAGAGCGCGTGATTTTCTGGTGCTGTTTTGGTATCAGCGAGCAGAGGATCTGTGAGTGTTATTCGAGGACATGGGTACGGTAGGGCAAGGAGTCAGATTGGGATTTCAGAGGCGGATTATCGCATGGAAACCCCTGCAGCGTGAGAAGTGATGCAATCTAAGGAAGAGGGTGGTTTTGTAGGAGGTGGTGTGGTTGGACGTGGTGGGCAGGACTCGGTCTGTGAATTTTGGGGGCTTTTGGTCTTACAACCTCCTGGCCTGAGGTCGTCAATGAGGGTGCTGTGCTAGGTGTTACAGGATCTAGCCACAATGAGTAAGGCAAAGAGAGCAGGGTTGGCAGAGAATGGGGATGGGGGGATGATGGGAGTGGATGAATCGGCGCTGGCGTCTGCCATAGGCAATGGCGAAGACCTAGCCCCGTTCATCCGAGCAGCATTTGAGAATGGCAAGCCAGAGACGCTGATTCACCAACTCAAGTATTTTGTGAAAAAGAAAGAGGTGGAAATTGAGGACCTTTGCAAGCTTCACTATTCGGAGTTTATTCGTGCTGTGGACGAATTGCGGTATGTTCTTGTCGACGCAGATGAGCTCAAATCTGGGCTTGCAGAGGAAAACAGGCAGTTACAAGAGGTTGGCGATACTCTCTTACGGATGCTGGACGCCCTAATACAGTCCCATGGAACTAAGAAGAACATAATGCAGGCGATTGACTCGCTCAAAACGTGCACCTCTGTGGTGGATCTATGCATGAGGGTGAATGAACATGTGATGAATGACAGCTACTATCCGGCACTGAAGGCCTTGGACATCATGGAGCGAGACTTCATGCCTGTGCTACCTGCTCGAGCCCTGCGCCAGCTTCTAGAAAGGCAGATCCCTGTGTGTAGAGCACATATTGAGAGAAAAGTGAACAAGGAGTTCAACGACTGGCTTGTTCATATCCGAAGTGCTTCCCGGGAGATCGGCCAACTCTCAATCGGGCAAGCTTCATCAGCTCGGCAACGAGAAGAAGACCTCCGAGGACGGCAGCGGCAGGCTGAAGAGCAAAGCCGTTCGGGATCGAAGGAGTTGGTATACATGCTAGAAATGGAAGACTTGGATGAAGACGACTCCCAGCTGAAATTTGACCTCACCCCAGTTTACAGGGCATATCACATCAATACGTGCCTGGGGATGCAGGACCAGTTTCGCGAGTACTACTTCAAGAACAGGCAGCTGCAGCTGAATTCTGATTTGCAAATTTCCACCACACAGTCATTTTTGGAGTCGCATCAGTCATACTTTGCTCAGCTGGCTGGGTTTTTCATTGTTGAGGACCGCGTATTGAGGTCTGCAGGCGGTCTGATGACTAGTGCCAGAACGGAACAGCTGTGGGAGTCGGCTATCAGCAAAGTGACCATCGTCATGGAAGACCAGTTTTCACGAATGCAGGATGCGAATCACCTCCTTTTAGTGAAGGATTATGTTAGTTTGCTTGGGGCCACATTGCGAAGATACGGTTACCAGGTGTGTGTTGTGTCAATCTTTTAATTGGTCTCGTCTTACACGCACATAATTGAGTTCGTTAGGATTTTTAATTCGACTTTTGTTCTTGTTTTGTTTGTTGTAGGTCGGACCATTGCTGGAGGTGCTTGACACGATGAGAGACAAGTATCACGAACTTCTTCTAGCAGACTGCCGTTACCGCATCAACGACGTCCTAGCAAACGATAAGTCGGAACGTATGATGATGAGGAAAGAATACGAGTACAACATGAATGTGCTGGCTTTCCACCTTCAAAGTGTGGATGTGATGCCTGCATTCCCGTATATTGCCCCCTTCTCAGCTACCGTACCTGATTGCTGTCGAATCGTGAGATCCTTCATCGAGGATTCTGTCAGCTTCTTGGCTTACGGAGGCCATATCGATTACTACGACCTAGTGAAGAGGTATTTAGATAAGCTTTTGGTGACAGTGTTGAACGAGGCGTTACTCAGGCTTGTTCGAAGTCCTATATTGGGAGTATCTCACGCTATGCAGATTGCTGCCAATATGACTGTACTTGAGACTGCATGTGACTATTTTGCGCAACACGCTGCCAAACTTTGCGGTATCCCTACACGGCTAGTTGAAGGTCCTCATGGGGCTCTGTCCGCTCAGTCCGTTCTGAGAAACTCGCAAGCTGTGGCACACGACACTATGATCAAGTTGGTGAAGTCGAAAGTGGACGAGGTCATGAATTCGACTCTGAATATTAACTGGAGTCCTGATGACCCTCCGCAAGGTGCTAACGATTATTTGAACGACGTTTATATCTATCTGCAAACCATTGCGGAAACATCCCAGGAAATCCTTCCACCAACTGCGTTCTATAAAGTGATCAGTGGGGTTCTTGAGCACATTTCCAGACGCATCATGGAGACCTTTTTGAGCGAGGACGTAAAGAGATTCAACATTTACGCGGTGATGGGCATCGAGACAGATTTAACGATACTAGAATCTTTTGCTGATGACAAGTATCGGACAAGTGTCCAGGACAGAGTACCAATGGCGCAGCCCTTGAAGTCATTTCTCGCAGAAGCCCGTCAGACAGTCAACCTCTTCATGGCCACTCAGCCTGATCTTTACCTGAATCCTGTTATCCGTGAGAGGAACTACGGTGCGCTGAATCCCAAAAACATCATCCTCATTGGGGAGAAGTTCAAGGATCTGCCAGAGAAGATGTTTGGTGGGGGTCGTGGAGGGAGAGTTGTTGCTAAGAAGAAGCTCATTGATGCATTGATTAAGCGCTTGAAGAACGAGGCTTGAGGATGATGCCCAGCATAGCCATTAGCAATGCAATGCAAACGCCGTATTATGTACATTGTGTACGATGGGGACGCTGGTGATGGTTTCTGGACTTGACAGGCTACCGGAGCTATTATTATGACTGCTATTTGCAACATTTAAGCAATTGGGTGCTGCATTCAGCTAGAAGCCGGGTATTATTTCACATTCGACGTTTGGAGGGTTGCCAGCGGGAGGTTAATCCCATGAAGTCAGTCAGTTTCTTAACTCTTTTCTCAGGTATTTAGTGCACATACAGTCAACAACAGCTAATTTTTAAGCCATGGAAGCCTCATACAGTCTACTGGTTTTTCCTTCCCTATGTCTTTATTTTTGTCAGTTTTTCAGTTCCAATGGAGACAAGCTGCTCTTACATCCCACGCATGCGATTGAACCGCTGTGTTGAAGAGAGGCGCTTTCTGCAGTAGTAGCTAGTGTATTGTGAGAGAGGTGGTAGATACTCATGTTGTAATAAGCGATACATTCTCCTCATTAGATGTCTTAGCGATGAGCCATGCTCGTGTTTGTAGTCTTATTATATGTTCATTTCCGTTGCCGATTTTTTAAATAGCACCGCAGCTGAAGTTTTTTAAGGAAGTACTGGTACCATATTATTGCAATGTTAGTTGATGGTCTGAAGCTTTGTGCAAGTTTTATGCAGACCAGTTCTGGGTTCTTTTAGTTGATCTGGTGTTGTCGTCTGTGCCACTTCGTTTCATGGAACACCCACTGAGGGCCTTTCATGTTTATCTTGAGCCTCGGGAAGAGATTGGTCCGTTTGAAAGGGCTCATTATCAGTTCTTATCCTGAACATGAGGGGCACCAGATTCATGACTTGTCACATATTTGTGCTGGAGCTGATATCCCAATTGTTTTCTTCTTTTTTCTTTTTTTTTTTTTTTTTTTTATACTTTTTTTTTAATTGAAGTAAAATACTAAAACACATATCCTTGCTTTCATCTAAATGAGACCACAAGTAACGAGTCACTTTCTGTTTCAGTTCGGTGATAGTCATCAGAACGTGAACTATGCAACACGAGTCTCTACGAGCGAGCTATAGAGTGAGCACATAGTTCTTTTCATCGCGTCGATATGGGTGATTGGGTCATGTCTGTAAATTCGGGTCATTACATGGAAGGAAATGTCCCGACGGCCGTACCGTGGACTACTCCAACAGTGTTCCACAAAATTACTACTTCACAGCAGTTTCATGTCCATGGATAAACCGTGCTGCCTCCTCTGTGTATACACTTCGCTCTGTTGCTAGGCTGTGGAACAGTACATGATCCCACCAACTTCAACATATTTCATCACATCCCTGCTGCGAATTGTCTGCTGGCCTTCCCTTGCTTCTAAAAATCACGCGATATGAGTCATGGCGAACGTACCTTTTGCCAACATGCTTGTTGAGACCAATCATTGCAGACAAGGCTTGCCCATCTAGGAACTTGAGTTCCCCATCAATACGTTGCTTTATTTTGATATCAGTTTCTCGGGACTGATTGCTGGGATTGGTTGGTTTGATACCTGTACAAGTGTTCAAAATTTAGTTCTGTTACAAGTATGTCAATCAAGAGTTCGCAGAATGAAATGAATAGATGCAAGAACAGGATATCCCAGTCGTGTCATTTTCCAGAGGCAAAGCTTTACTCACCATAATCCAGCCCCAAGTATCAGCATACGATGGTGCGTGCGCTGCGTATGGTACAACATCTGCAACCCACAATTCAGCGTTAGAGTAGGAATGAACTTTACGTTACATAACAATTAACTAAGTGTTCATGTTTGCAGCCACCAAAATGTAAACGAAAAGAGAATGCCTATAAACGGTCGAACGATCTGTGACGTGGTAGTCCTATCTCTGAGCAAGTGGAGCATTGAAAGTCTAAGGCTCAAACAATTGGGCTTCCTTGCAAGAGGCTTGTGGACTGGGGATGGGCATTGGAAACGGGGACAGGAGACGGAGAGACGTAATGATGGTATTGACAGTATATTGATTTAGTAAAAGTCTGGGTCATTTTAATATTTTTATTTCTTTATAGATATTATTTATTTGTTATAGTATTATGTTTATAATATTATAATTGAAAAGATAATATTATAATATTAAAATACAATTATTATTATAATAATATTTTTAATATTTTTAAAATTAATTTTTTAACATATACTAAAAATATAAAAAACTAGAAATTAAAAATGAATCTTTTAAATAATTATTGTTGATTTAGGATTTAATAATACATAATATTTCAATCCAAAAATATATATTTTAATTATCTAAATACATTGCTCCTACAACTTAAATTATATCAATATACTTAACAATGAAGTATATTATATTTATTATACCTATAATATTTTATTTTTAAAAAGTGACTTTATAATGATAATGATATATTTTAAGATTTTAGATTTCTTTTATTAAGTTTCTATAAAGTATGTTTGAGTTGAAAATATATTTTTGTAATTACCAAAAATATACCTCTTTTTCTAATATGTAATATATATATATATATATATATATATATATATACAACAGGTATTTTAATTCCTAAGTATATAATCAAATTAGGATATTTAAATAAAATTAGAACGTGGTTCCTAGACTTTACAATTTTTTACCTTTTAAAAGAGCTTGCTTAAAGTTCTTTTTTGTCATATCTAATGTGATTGTATACCTTTGGTAATAACATAATTTTTTAATACATATTCTAATTTTTATACTTTTATTCTTGTCTTACATTAAATTGATCATAGTACTTAATTAAACTTTGACTCTCATTCATTGTACTTAAAATTGTATATAATTATGCCATTACTAGTATAAGTTCACACTTTATCTAAAAGTAATAATTTACGGAAGCTTCTACTATTTCTATATTTTTTTTATTGCAAAAAATGATAATTTTTTAAATCTCATTTGTATCATAATTTTGTAATTTTACATCACAAATACATTAGTACTTTCTTTTAATATTTTAAAACTTGTGTTTTTTTTTTGAAAAAATTTGGATCTTTCCTAAAGCATTATATTGTAAAATACAAGTGTATTTTTTTTTTTATAAAATCTATAAGTATGTTAGAAGTATCTAACACAATTAATCTTCTACTATTCTATTATACTCTATACACAATCATTATAGATTAATAAAATTTAAGAAAACTTCTTCTCAGATATGGTTATAGTTTGGCATTCTTAAAAGCATTTTTTTAAAAAAAATTCCAACTTTAAACTTATCTTATTAATAATTTTAATGAAATATTTGAGTTTTTTAATCATAAAAATAATTATGAATAAGCTAAACATATTTAGATAAAACATTAATATACATAAGATTATTTCTTGAAGAAAAAAATTAAATTAAAATTTTAAATTTATATTAATATATTAATATATTTTTTATTTTATTTTAAGTTAAAACTTTGCTATATGTTATTTACTATTAATATTAATTTAATAATAAAAAATATATTGTAATATTATTCAAAAATTTATATTCAATATTATTTTTTTAATATAAAAAACCAATAATTTAATCTTAAACCTACTACTAAGGACATGAACTGGAAGAAGATGCATAAACGTGAAAAATTTGTGTTAAAAGAAAAGTGACAAAATAGCAATAAAGTAGTATGTATATTAAAAAGAAATTGAAATGGCTATTGCCAAAAGTCAAAGAAATTAGAGACTTTTAAATCTAAACTAGAAGCAAGAAAGGAATTAATAAGAGTGAAGAGGGCTTCATTCTTGCCTCTATATATTCTATCTAACTAGGAGCTATGCGGTGATGTTCTATAGGACTTTTAATATGTGTTGACTTTGTAAGATACATGCCTTGGCTTACAAGACAAGTTTTCTATATGTGGGCCATATAGTTAGCTTGTTCTTCAAGCTACCAACATGTGTGGCATATGGCCAACTTATTGACCATGTTTCTAACCTAAAAAGTCAATTAAAGATACCTATAAAGTCAAAGCCACATCTATAAAGCTTCTACGAAGCTTGAATAAAAGATATTATGGAATTAATCTAATTTTGCCTATTACTATTTAAATCATATAGGTAATTATTGGTCTATATATATATATATATATATATATATATGATATGATATGATATGATATTATCTCTCCTTCTAGGGATGAGTTCCATGACGAGCGGTCTTTATATATTGAAGAAATCCAAGATGCAGCAAATTGTATTTACTACATACTCTGATCTTTATTCTCTTTGAAGATAGTTGATAGACCCTCTCAACCATCGATAGTATTCCATATCAAGGAAAGAAGACCACCTTATAATTTGGTCATTGATGAGACCTTCATAACTTCTTTCAAATAAAACATTTGAAACACTGTCAAGAGTTATTCTTACTTCTAATAAAATTATCAAACATTGAGAGTCTCTTTCAAGGTCGTGATACCAAACATGTTCTATCTTTCCATCTATTCAAGGAAGGACATGTTGTTCTTGAAGATCTCCATCTCGATTTCATTGTCTTCAAGGTTGTGACAGTCGCAATGTCTTATCTGGTAAGTCTACAAATAAAAGTTCTTGAGTTGAATTTGCTAGTTATTGGTTTTCCATCTCCTTAGCATCACAAATACAGAGAAGCTACAAAGAAAAATAGAAGATAAAATACAATCTTTCCTGGATCTTATTTCTTTTATAGCAAAGACTTACTATTCCTCATCTTAGTTTAGATAGATGTCATCGATAAAAAGCCTCCACTGCCTTTACTGCATTTACAAGATTCTTTATTGGTTTCCATGTGCATTCAATAATATTGTATGTGTACCAATGGATAAGATATTCTAATTTATTTTCGCAACGCTTAGAGTCTAGAACTTTTTCTATTTCAAACTCTTCATTATTGTCCACTTCTATAGGATAAGATAGAACTTGTCTTTTTCTTGGTATGTTCATAGTCTTGTATGGTTCAAGAAGAGACACATGGAAGATAGGATGGATCTTCATTGCCTCCCATAGATGTAATCGATAAGCAACTAGATTGATTTGTCTACAAATAGGAAAAGGTTTAAATATGTGGTAGTCCAACTTATCACAAGGACAAGCAGTCTTAATATTACGACAAAGCAACTATACCTTGTCACCTACATTAAATTGTGGTTGTTCCTTTTGATAGGCATGTGCATTGATCTTTTGTTGTTCTTGAGCTTCTTTTAATTGCACCTTTATTGTTGCATGTAGCTTTGACAAATGATTTGTCAAACCTTTTGCCACACGATTATCAACTTTTGAAAAGTCAAAAGTATCAAGTCATGGATGATAACTATAATTGGCAAAAAAATGTGATTGTTACATAAAAAAATATATTATATTATTATAAGCAAACTCTACCAATGGTAAGAGGGTTCTCCAATCATCTTGTTGATAATTGATAGTATATCTTAAGTATTGCTCCAAAACTTGATTTATGTGCTTTGTTTGTCCATCAGTTTGAGGATGAAAGGCCAAAGAAAGCTTTATGTCCACCTTTAATATCTTAAAAAGAGTTCTCCAAAATCTTGATATAAATTGACTCCCCTTATCCAATATAATATCTTTCGGCAATCCATGATATTGATAGATATTGTTAAAGAAAAGTTTTGCAGTTTCTTCACTTGTGTTAGATTTTGTGTGTGGTACAAAATGTGCCATTTTGGTAAAATGAACTACTATCACAAATATAAAATCACATGATTCTAAGAATGAAAGATCAGTAATAAAATCCATAGAAATAAAAGACTAGGATTGTTCTGGAATAGGTAATGATTGACGAAGTCCATAACATCGATGTCGAGGAGTTTTTGACCTTGAACAAATGTCACACAATTGAGCAAAGTCTTTTACATCTTTCCACATTTGCGGCCATCAAAAATCTCTAGATATTAGATCTAGAGTCTTGTTGTATCCAAAATGCCCTATTACTAGAAAGTCGTGACATGCTTGAAAAATACATAAACATGCTTCTCTTTTTAGCATATATAGGTATCTTTGGAAATAAAGTAGGTTGTTCTTGAACTCAAACTAAGATTTAGAAGAAGTATTCTTGATATCATGAGTAAGAGGATCAAATGACATACTTGATTAAATTTGTTTGAGAAAAGTTGAATTAATAGTCAATGTTGATTTTACTACTCGAAGATGAAATTATTTTGGCTTCAATAAAATTATCTTTTTTTGATCAAAAGCTAAATCTCTTTCTTTAGGTGCAAGATAAGAATGTCTGAAAAGGGCATCAGACAAACCTTGTTGTTTTTCTAGCCGATAAGTGATATTGAACTCAAATCTTGACAAAAACATGCTACAACGAGACTAGCAATGATTCAAAACATGAATTGATATGAAATACTCAAGGTTCTTGTGATTTGCATATATGGTGATTGGATTAGAAGTGCTTTCTAGATAATGATGTCATTCTTGGAAAGAATCCACAATTGCAAGAAGTTCTTTGTCATAGATCTCATAGTTAATCTTGGTTGTTGAAACTTTCTTGGAATGAAAAGCTATCAGGTGAAGTTTATCATCTATTCCTATTTGTAATAATACAACCTTCAAAGCAAAGTCTAATGCGTCTATTTTTATAAAAAAATACCTTCAAAAAATCAACATAATACAAGATTAGTGTAGAAACAAAGGCTAACTTTAAAGCTTCAAATACTACTTCAGCTTCTTAATTCCATTGAAATTTGTCTTTGTAAATCAAACGTGTAAGTAGAGCTCCAATTTGAGAGAAGTCTTTGATGAAGATTTGATAGTAATTGGCAAATTCCAAAAAAACATTAGACATCTTAGACCGTTTTTGAGATCTTCCTATCCATAATAGTTTGAACTTTCTTAGAATCCATCATAAGTCCATTGTTTGAAATGATATAATCTAAGTCAACTTGAGTAGTGTGGAATACACACTTTTCTATCTTAGCATAAAATCCCACATCTCTTAATTTTTGTAAATACAACAAACATGAAGTTCATGTTCTTTTGTATTCTTAGAATAGATTAAGATGTTTTTTAGATAATGGACAAAAAAATCATCCAAAAACTCTCAAAAAATATCATTCATAAGATGTTGAAAAGCTGCTTGTGCATTTGTAAGTCCAAAAGACATGACATTATATTCAAAATATTTGTACCTAATTTGAAATATAGTCTTCCATTTATCTCCTTCTTTGATGCATACCAGATTGTATACTCCTTGTAGATCTATTTTTGTATAGATCTTAGCTTGATTCAACTAATCAAAAAGTCCAGATATTAAAGGTAATGGGTACATGTTTTTGATGGTGATCTTGTTGAATCCTTGATAATGAACATACATCCACAATAATCCATCTTTTTTCTTCACAAATAAAATTAGGGCTCGTGCTGGAGATTTGGAATGGCATATGAAGTTCTTGGCTAAATTTTCTTCAATATATTCCTTGAATTCAGCCAAATCATTTTGTGATAAATTGTAGATTGATCCAAATGAAGGTTGTGCTCTTTCTTAAAGGTCAATTATACAATTATAGGAATGATGTCCTAGAAGAGTATCTATATTTTTTTTTTCAAATACATCTTAAAAATCCTAATATTGGCTTGGAATACCACTTGAAGTCTTTGCACCATTAGAAATGAGTGACATAAATGACACAAAGTGATCAATTTTTTGCAGTATGCAAAAAAAATACTTGTACCTACAAATATAGGTTTAATTGTACTAGACTTGTGATTTTCTACTTGATTAACTTTACTCTTAGTGATACTTTTAGAAAAGTCAAGAGTACAAGAAATCTAATTTACTTGAAAGTTGTATTTTTTTAAATACCATAAATCTAAAATAATTGAATTAAAAAAAAATCTAATGATATTAAATATTATTAAGCTATTATGACCATTAGTTATTACTTCTATAGGAAGGATTTCATGAATAACATCTCCTAAAGATAGTCGGCAACCATTTATGACTTCTACATGAACAAGTTTAGTTTTTCTCACTAAAGATATGTTAAGTCTTTTAGCAAATTCTTCATCTAAGAAACACGCTGAAGCTCTTGAATCTAATAAGGCAAACACTTTGTAATGTATAGGTCCTAAAATAATGTTTAATGTAAAACAAAGAGAAGTTTTTGAGAAAATAGGACCTCGTTAGATATTGTACAAGGTTTCAACCGCATGGTTCCTATTGTAGCTAGACCAACTCATTTTTTGATATATTGTTTTCTTTCACATTCATACTCCTCATTTTATAATTGTGTCGCTTCTTTGGACAATGTTGAGCAGTATGCTTAGGTTCTCTATAATATAAGTACAATCTTTTTTGACAACGATGAGTCTTTTCTTGCTCAGTAAAAGGTTTGAAACATACCGCATCAATTTGCATATCTTCTACTTCTGAATATATGTGTTGAAGAGGCGTTGGTGTTGCCATTGAATTATAATAATATTGAGGCCCACTTGTCTAATTCTCAGATCAAAATTTAAAAAATCAATTGTCACACTTCACAACAAAATTAATTTCTTGACTCAATGTTTGAGGATCAAGTAAGTTGAGCATCAATTTCTTTACCTCATATTGTAATTCATAGAGAAATTGGCTAATAAGTGCAATATCATTCTACTTGATATCAATTGCAAGTTGTCAAAATTGTAAAATATATAATATTATAGATCGATTTTTTTTTATCATAAAATATGAATCTTATTGATTACAATACAAGTTGCATCATATTTTTTGTATATGGATCAAAAATTTATTAAAAAAAGCCTCCAAATTATTGAATATTGGATCTCATTATTCAAGAAAAGATAAAAACCATGATAATGTTGAATTCGAAAGAAGTGTACCAATGAATCTAAATGAATCTTGTGATCTTTGAGTTAGATAGCTTTGGAGTTGAAGTTCAATCACAAGTTGTACTTGATTGATAAATCCTCAAAACTTGGATCTTATGCCATCAAATTTCTTAGGCAAGAAAACTCTTGGTTCTCTAAGACTAGAAGGATGTTCCACCATAGGAGAAGGGAAATGATTGGATGTAGATATTGAAGCAGGTTCAATCATATCTATATCATCACTTCCTGCCATTCTTGTTGCTCCTTGTGGTGGTAAACTGAGTTGATGCATTGCAAGCATTAACTTCCTCAATTGTTCTTGCATTTGTGCCATTACACTTTTCATTTCAATAAGCTTTGCCATGATAATACTTAGAAAATAAATATCTAATATTGCTCAAGACAAGCAAAAGATGGGAGTTGAGAATAAAGAAGATACTAAGAAGAATATTAGTTTAAAAGAAGGTAGTCCTCAACTTCTAATACGCTTATGTCTTATTAAAAAAAATAGTACTCCACTCATAATCAAGAAAAGACAAAGCTCTAATATTATAAGTGTACTCTTGTCAATCTGTCAAAGACATGAACTGGAAGAAGATGCATAAACGTGGAAAAATTTTGTTGAAAGAAAAGTGACAAAATACCAATAAAGTAGTATGTATATTAAAAGGAAATTAGAATGGCTATTACCAAAAGACAAAGAAACTAGAGACTCTTAAATCTAGACTTGAAGCAAGAAAGGAGTTGATAAGAGTGAAGAGGGCTTCACTCTTGCCTCTATATATACTATCTAACTAGGAGCTACGTGGTGATGTTCTATAGGACCTCTAATATGTGTTGACTTTGCAAGACACATGCCTTAGCTAACAAGACAAGTTTTCTACATGTGAACCTCATAGTTAGCTTGTTCTTCAAGCTACCAACATGTATGGCACATGGCCAACTTATTGACCACGTTTCTAACCTAAAAAATCAATTAAAGACACCTATAAAGTGAAAGGAGCATCTATGAAGCTTTTAGGAAGCTTGTATAGAAGATATTATGGAATTAACCTACTTTTACATATTACTATCTAAATCATATAGATAATTATTGCTTAACATGTGTATGTACATAATACTTAGTCAAAAAAAATAATATATATATATATATATATATGATGATGATGATGATGATGAAATAATGTTAGTAAATTTACAATTTGTATTAAATCTAAAATTTTACTAAAACATCATATTCTTAATTTGACAAAAAAAAATATTTGAAATTCACATCTATAATTCAACTTTGTTAATATATTTCTTTTGCAAGACAAGCATGATAATTCATCTTTGTCATATATTATTTTTATAAGACAACTTCTTAAATTAGATTTTAAATAAATATCATATTAAGGGATATCATCTATAACTATTCATTGGAGGTCTTGCCTAGTCCACTACTTACATGCGACCTTCACACAACTTTCAAATAATAGCTTGGACAATATCATTTTTAGTGTACCTATTGCATAACTGACTAAGATTACCACTAACTAGAGAGGTTGGTGCAATCAGTAATAGCAACTTATTAGGACCACAAATTCCAATATTTAAATAGCAATTATAATTGTTAGTAACTTAATTTTGGATGGACACCCCTTTATCATTCTTCCTCTCAAATTTCTTTAGGCCTTGGGAGTTCTTTTCTTCAGCTATGGGTAATATAGATATCCTAGATAATGAAGGCAAGCTCAAGCAAGCCTATCAAAACAAAATCAAAGTTACCCAAAATTTATGAATGGATGCAAATAAATATATATATATATATATATATGCCACTTCTTAATGAGGGAAAAGATCAGCTCTAGCCTTTCATAAATTTCATGCCTTAAGTCCAAACAAACCAAAAGAGCATGGTCTTTGCCTTCAAGCAAAGGTACTTCTGACATAAAAAATAGACATAATTCTCATGATAAATAACTTTTTTATTTTTATTTTCACTGTACCAAGTCATTGAAAGCAATTTGGAGGGATGTAGTGGAATAGGCACCGATCTAGTGCTGAATGGACGAAAAATCCAAATGGCTCCTCATACCAAACACATTTTAAAATGACCTATAAATTGTTAACCTGATCTAATTGCCCAAAGACAATTTCGTGATTTTTTAAACCCCAAACTCATCAGTTCTATTTAGGGTCTATCCACACACAAGGAAGATGAACAGATACAAGGGTCAAAGTGTAAGCTAGGAGCTTGCTCTGCGAAATCAAATGAAATTTAGAGACACCTAAACTTGCAAACAAAAATAAAAATTTGCTAATAATGCACGTTCTACATTTTTCCAATGGTTACTCAAACTACAATTTTCACTCAATCTACCGAGATGTGGGGATTAGACTCAGGGAAATCAAGATACTGTACAGAGTTGCCCAGACTCCAGCACAAGTGACAAGGAGCTTAGACAGCATCTATCAATTGTGCATAAATTATCTAAGCGGCTCAGGAGCTCCAACAAACTATGTTCTGACCTTGTGAGATTCTTAGAGACCAAGACCCAATAACAAAGAAACAAATGAATAGTTGCCTCGAGTTTTTTACTTGTACTTTTACTGTGGCTCTCAATTTTGGCCAAATAATAGATTACATACGAAATTAGTGATTGACTCATAATTGATCTAAACTACGCGGAAACAAGTACACCATAGTACCTCCACCTAAGCAGACACAAGCTCTTTAAGTCATGGCTCACCTTACACCACTACAAAACTATTACAAAGCCTTGCGCCCTGTAGAATTAACACTATTTGACTAATTTTAGGAGCTGAAAAAGCACTCCGCATGGTCCTTCACATTTAGAAAAGGGAAGCAATGATGTACCTCTGACTACAAGAAAGGAAAAAAAGTAATGAGGAAAGGAACTATCCCCTTCAAGGTCTCCATGAAGAGCGAGACTTACGTTGGCATATCTAAAAGTCGATGAATAAACAAGCATCAGGAGTGCTCATCTCCAGGACGAACCTAATTGACGCCCTCCATTGCATCCTCACCATCACCCTCCTGGTCTCCAGTAATTCCATCTTCAATATAGTCTGTTTCAAAATTGTAGTCATCAGATGCGTTTCCATTGCTCGTTGGAAAAGGACCATTCTTAGCTGCTTTCTTCATCTTCTTTTTGAGTGCTCGTTTGGCATGTGGATTTTGAATTCCTTCAGCATCGTAAAGTCTTTCGTTCTGGCTCAAATACGCTCTACCTCGTTTCACAACTACTTCATTTGTGTCCATCATGCTGGGACCCGCATCCATCTCATCTTCCTCTTCCTCTTCTTCGTCACTGTCCTCTTCTTCCATGGCCTGGTTGATCTGTACAGAAAACCAACATAGCTCTCAGCACAAGACCAAAGCAATTAAAAAGGACGTGCGTCAACTTGAAATCTGAGAATTGTTTTAGCTTACACCACAAAATCCAAATACAATTTAGTTAAAAGAAAGAGTACCAGAGAATCATCAACGTCCATGTTGAGTGGAGCACTAGACGACATTTGAACATGTGAAGAATCTGCAATAGAAGGAAGACCAGCTATAACAGCAGATGCCTCGTTCTGAAATACTGCCTCCACATCGAATTCCTTGCCCCAATCTGACACAATTGTCCCAAATTCAGCATGCTCGCTGACTTCCCGTACAGGAGGTGTTGTGAAGTAAGGTATTTTCCCTGGAAAACACGTGGTGGCGTGGGTTTTAGGAAAAAACTAGACTCATGAAGACTGATGTTTGTGAAAACACACTATGCAAACTAAATATCAGTGGGGCTTAAACAGTCACAATAACAAATACGTTAAGTTTCACACTAAAATTGCAGGATATACCTCTCTAAACACACGAGCATACAGGATAGAATTCTCTTTGTATTAATAGCCACGCAACTTCTTTACTACCACGCTTTCCAAAAAAATCACATGTTACAACACACATCGACCACTCAATATATTCTGAGCGTACCTTCATTCCAATCATGAAGCACAATGCGGGCTGCAGCAGGACTATCTACAACACCTCCTTTCTTCAATTTCCCTCGAGCCATTGCAACATTCATCAGAAACTCGTCCACGTTGCTAAAGCTATTGATGTTATAAATAGTCTTCAACTTCTCAGCAGGACACAGTCGCAATATTTCCTTCACTGTTTAGATAAACGAATCACATGTTACACCAACGAGATTATCCATGCCCTTCAAAACACATATAATCGTAAAAAGCTGCAGAAAAAAGGTCGGCTTGCAGTTGCCGCAGAAGTACCTCATCCTAAGATTTATATTGTATTATGCATGCTGAAGCAAAAGAAGACGATGATCACAAACCATCAAGTTCAGTTGTTCCATATCTACCCTAGTTTACCTGGGGTAGCAGGGTCGTCGAGCTGTTCAATCCTGGTGCAGTTTCGTAATGTGGCAGATGCTTCATTGTCGCCCGATGCTGCGAACACAATTCCAGGACAATCGAGTAGCTTTACATGCTTGTCCAAGTGAATCTCCTGCATCGCCTTCGTGACACCAGGTGTTGCTCCAACACTGGCCACTCGTGTTCTCTTTAAACTGTTAATAAGACTACTCTTCCCAACATTTGGAAACCCAACTACACCAACTGTGATAGCTGTTTTCATCTGCACATGCAACAAGTCATACACAAAATAAGCACAAAAAATCCATCACTTCTAGTCTGTACACAACATTGCAGTAAGTTACGCTCGAAACAACATCCTAGGAACAGATAAAATTACAACAGACAGTACCTTCTGATTTCTGGAGTAATTTTTAAGAAGCTGCAAAAGTGTCTCCGCGCCAAGGGCGTCGCTGCTTTGCAAAGCATTAGCATTCTCGGTAGCATTCGTAAAAGACTTCCTTCCCAAATTCGTTCGTTGTTGCTGAGTATTACACTTAAATGCAACCGTTGGCAGTTCTTCCCTAAGATACTTGAGCCATTTTTCCGCCACTTCTCTAGGGACAAGATCTGCAAATCAATGACCAGTTAAACAGATTTGTACTATTTGTTGTATGTCAAGTATTTCAAGGCGAATGATGTCGCACCTGGTATTACACACCTCATGTAGATAAAATTAGAACTGTGCATAAACCTATATGTCTAACTAGCATGCTTTCGATTCCTTTTAATAACATCCAATAGTATTTCGACAAAAAAGACCTGCGTGAAAAGAACTCAAAAAACGTGTTACACATGGCAATTTCCAGCTTCAGTGTGGGAGATTTAAACAGAGATTCATGAAAATTACCAATTTTGTTGAGGAGAAGAACAATACGCTTAAGTCCTCCAGCTTTATGGACCATTCGTTCTACATCCAAACAACGGCTACCAAGAGGGTCTCTTGCGTCCAACACTTGAATGATCACATCCGACGCCTCAACCACCTTCATGAACTCCTTATAAAATTGCCTTCGAGAATGCTCTTCAGAAGAAACAAAAAAGCGTTAAAATCTAAACCTAACACCTCAAATAACTCAAGGCTTCACAATTTAAGCATTCATGATTGCAAAGAAAAAACTGAAATTGGATATTGGAACGAAACAACAGAGAAATTAAGGCATACCTTGGGTACCAACCCTGTCACTCTTCTGTTTCTTAACTTTATCGAACTCAGAAGTCTTCCTGGAGGCATTGTTCGCAAGCTGCGCAAATTCAACGTCACCTGCATCGCCCGCCGATCCCATCTTACGCTTCGCAGCAGCCTGCGTCCATAAATTTAAACAAACCCTAAATGAATCGATTTCGCGAAAGACATAATTCAGTAACAGCAAACATGACGCTTCAAAACTCACTCCGGCTTTTCACACCGAGTAAGAAGTACGCTCAGTGATAAAGTAGTGTAGGCCACGGAAGTGCTGAAAGCCGCGGACACACAGCTGGGCATACCCTTTCCCTTTTCGCCGCTTGGTTCTGCTCATAATTCTCGATAGCTTTAGCGCGCCGGGCTTCCATAGCAGCGACCTGCGCATCCTCCAAAACTTCTGCGTCCCTCTCCTTAGGTTTCGCCTTGTAATGAACTATCTTCCTCGCCTCCTTGGCTTTCTTTTCGCAGTGCAACTTCACCTTCTTCAAAATCTTACTCTTCTTCTTCATAGAAACACGCTTGTGCTTACTCTCTGCACCAGGGCACAACTACATTCATCAAAACCCAATAAATCCCGTCTACGTGTATGTGAAACCATAGCAATGAACGGCGGTATTAAGCGACCCCGAATCATCAACAAGCTGCAAATGATATCGCTAAGAACGAAGAGGAATTGCTCACTTGTTTTCTGACTGTTCACCATTTTGACGACAGTTTCCGACCCAGCAAGAAAGAGAATCCTACGACAGAAAGCTAATTCACAATCCTGCTGATCGAAAACTCGAATCAATTTGGGGCAGTTTCAAGGTTAGCCTGCAATCGCAGCAGCCTAAGTGAGGAGTGAGGGGAGACTCTAAAACCCTCAACCTTGAGAACTGGCCACCTCCAGGAGCCCTAATGTCTCCGGGCTATATTACTCCGGGTATGAGAGGATCCGGGTATGTGGAACGTCGCCATGATCGGGTATCAGGACCCCAGCTTGGTTCTCACCATCTCCTTGAATCATCTTGTTTGGATCCTTAGATACTGCCACAAACAAGCGTGCCACACAGCATGAATCTTCTTATATTTTGATGGTTCATTCACTTGAAAATATGTGAGATTTATTATTCCTAAAATATATATATATATATATATATATAGTTAACTATAATATTCTTTTGATTGATTTGTATGTCAAATTATGTCAGTGTGTGTGAAAATATATAGAGGAATGTTAAATAGACCCATGCTTTTACTAAATAGATCCACACTTGATAAAGAATATGGTAATCATGATGAATGTGGTTGGTTTTTATTGGTTTTAGATCCAATAATGGGAAAATGAATCTAGAAATCATTATTTTTTTCATGATGGTTAGGATAGGTAGATTGATTTAGAAAAAACTTGGGTTTATTTAACATTCCTTTCTATAGATTTATACAAAATACATCAAAATTTTCTTCACGATTATGATCTTGGATTAGCATGTAAGAGCTTCTTCTTTACTTTAGACTATTTATATTTTTTTTAATGTTTTGTTTTAATCAAATAATATTATTTTAAGATACCATACTTTTTTATTATTTTTAAAAGCATGTGATTAGTGTATTTATATATATATATATATATATAATTACGTTTTCCTCAAAATTTTCAATTGAATTTCAACTTTTTAAGAGTGAGTATTAACTTTACTCAATTCCTTGATTTATTGATTTCCATCTCATACATGATTGGGTGAAGTTTTTGTAATTTTTTTTAATTGTGAAATTTTAAAATACTTTCTAATCAATATGTAAAATTTTGGAAAAGAGTATGAAAATTTATTTTGAATATCTAGCAAAATCTATAAATATAATATTTAATAATTTTAGCTAATGGCATATCAAATTTTTATAGTATTTAAAATGTTATTGTAATATGATTGTCTATATATAATAAATATTTCTAATATCTAATATAAAAATATGACTCAATTTCATTAGATTTGCTAAAAAAATCTTCTTTTTAGAATACATATACATATACACAACTTTAATTCTTATCCACAATTGGGCACTAATATCCATATCATAATCAAGAATTGTTTTCTAAACTTTGTAGTTTTATTTTATTTTTTTATTAAATATTAAATATTTTTCTTATTAATATTCCAAAATTAGTATTATCATACTCATTGTTACTTCTTACAAAAGATATAGAATAAATTGAATTATCTATTATTTAAATTTTAGAAAAATAAGGCTTTTAGAAAATTAAAAAAATTAAACCATTAAATAAAGAGCCATCTAATATTTAAATAAAGATCAAATTTTAATAGTAAAAAAAATTAAAATAATCTATAATATTTCTAAAATTAAAATAACTATGAATATCTACAAATATTAGTATATATATATATATATATATATATTAGCAATGCACCCACGATTTTTTCTATTGCCACAACAACTTGCTATTAACTCTACATATTTCTTAAGTTTTTTTAAATTGTAATCAATTTTTTTGTTTATATATATATATATCTTTGTATTTATATATGTTTATACAAAAATGATTGTGGTTGCATTAACAAAAGAATAAAAATTTGATTGAAATTTTCATAGGATTGTGGTGGCAAAAAAATAGAAAAAGTAAAAAAATACTAAAATTTAATTAATTTTTTCATAGAATTGTCATAGCAATAATAAAGACTGTAGTAGTAGTAGCAAATTTTGTTGTGGCAATGGCAAAGACTAAGGTGACATTAGCAACACCCTATAAGTATATTATTATTATTATTATTATTATTGAATAGTATACACATAATACTATTTTTTACTTCTTTTGTTAGAAGTATATTAATGATTAGTTGATGATTGTTTTCAAAGTTTTAACCTAATATATAAATGGACATAGATGATTTTTTGCAAAATAATTAAAAAAATGACATAAAAAAATACAATTATCCTAAAACATAATAAAATAACCAAATAACAGTGCCAAGTTACAAAATTCTTACTAACCAAAAAATATACAAGTCTTAAAAAGATAATTAGCAAAATAAAAAATGACCTTAATTTTGCTTGTATGTGTATTACTTGCATAATTACAAGCTTTTGTCCAATTGTTTGAACAACTAATCATTTAAATCATTTACAAAAATTGAACATCTTAACATGTTTTAACCAAATTATCATAATTATTTAAAAAAAAGACATAATTTAAAAATAAAAAACAAAAAATCTCAACATTAGATTTCTATTTAAAAAATTAAAAAATATATAGAACATTTAACTATATATTTTTTCTAAAATTATTTGATACTAAAAAAAAATTCTAACAACTTGGTCTACATTTAAAAATTCAAAGAATTTTTGTAGAGTTCTTTAACCACCATTTTTAATGCTACAAACAATTACAAAGACTGTAGTTGACATTCAAAAAGATCCAGCTTTATTGCACACATTTATACTCACAAAAAGTAATATTTTTCTACATTGGTATACTTGGGTGCCTCTGAAAACACCCCTTAGATACATGTCATGATTCCAAATTCCATTGTAATAACATCACATCACATGAGCTTTCTAAACATTATCCACTTCAAGTTGAGTTGTGAGTTAGAAGGATCGGTCGTCTAGTACGCATTCATATTACTCGACATCGACTTGTTTCACACTCATGTTCGTAGCAAGAGGTGGGGCAAGTGTTGCATTCTGGGAAATTTAGGGTTAATTTATGGCTAATTTAGAGCAAGTGGTATCGTAGTTTTTACGACACTGCTGCAGTCTTATGAAAGAAAGTTGGAGCTTTGAGGAGTGGGATTAATTAAGTCCACGAATGCTGTTTGGGTCCCACTTGAAAGTGGATCTTATTCCTTCTCCGAGATTTTAATGGATTAATTTTTTATCTATTTATTTTTCCTCAAGCTGGCTGTAAAGTTGCAGCGTCGATTATCACTACAACGTCCAATGGAAGGTTCTGCTGCACTGTTTCGGAGTCAAATATTTGGCCATCCTCGAAGAGTGCTTCAGACTACTTGTCATCAGCTGTTCAAACAATTAAAGTCCAGGTTGACTTTGGTAAAAATAGAAAATGCCAGAATGGGTTCACTTTCGGTCCGGTATGAGAAGCAGGTCAGGTGCCCAGCTCGCTCGTAAGCACTTTGACCTTTTTTCACTTCATCCGTTAGTCGTTCATGTGTGCATAGACATAGATGTCGCGTAGCTGCTGCAAATTTTGTGAGCTATTAGACAAGTTTCAAAGTTTAGGATTTATAAACATGTTCTGGTGCCGGGAGCCATTTGGATATTCTGTTCATCCTGTACTGGATTCCAATTCCGCTTCTGCCCGGCATAAGTAGTCCAACAGGCTGTATATAGGCAGGCAAAGAGGCCGAGAAACGTGAATCGGTCCCTTCTCTGAGCTTCCAGTTACAGATTGTTGCATATTTTCTCCTAGATTAGTTCACTGTATTCCCCAGATTTTCCTCGGTGGGACTTTGCGTGTGTGCTGCCTCATAGTTTCCCGACTTCGAACTCTGTCTTGGGTTTAGCGGACTTGAGTTGGATTGTGAAAAATAAAATCTTGTCTTGTATGTTGCCATGGCGCCCAGAATATCATTGTTTGGGATCTTGCTGGTGCAGATTCTCAGTTTTCAGTTGTTGGTATCGCCGGATTTCTTCTTGGCTGGAGCTGTGGTGAGAGGGGGTTACTGGTTGCAAGACTTGCCGCTAGTGAACATAAACTTCAATTACGAGACGCATGTGTACTACGCGTTTGCAGGCTTGGACCCTTCCTCGTACCAGGTTGTGGCTCCGACCACCGACAATGGCCAGTACGCGACGTTTGTGGCCACGGCGAAGAGCTCAAACCCTTCCGTTGTGACGCTCCTCTCCATCGGCGGAGGTGCAGCAAATTTTACCACATTTGGCGAAATGGTGAGCACATCCACCAGGCGGCAGGCCTTCATTGACAGCAGTATCTCGCTGGCTCGCCAATACAGTTACGAAGGACTGGACCTAGACTGGGAGTCACCGCAAAGCCAAACAGAGATGGAAAATTTGGCGCTACTGCTACAGGAATGGCGCGCGGCTGCGCATACGGAGGCTCAATCGTCAGGCAATACCGAGCTTCTCCTCACAGGTACAACTTTCAGCCGGTAAACTTCACCCTCAACCACTACTAGATACGATTTCTTCCGAATCCATTCAAACATTTGCCGATCTAAGCGGTTCGAATGCTGTCCTTGCAGCTGCTGTGAGCTACCAGTCAATTCTGCTCTACACGGGTGTCGGTAATCAGGTCTGGCCGATTACCGCTTTCAACACATACTTGGACTGGGTGAACGTGATGACCTATGATTACCACGGCTCATGGGAGCCAACCACTACTGGCGAACACACAGCATTATACGACCCCAACTCCGACGTCGACACTGATTACGGAATCAACAACTGGCTGTCAGCAGGCATGCAAGCAGACAAGATGTGCTTGGGACTTGCTTTCTATGGAAAGCAGTGGGTTCTTGCCAGTCTTGCCAACACCGGAGTAGGGGCGCCTGCCACCAGTGGTGGCGACCCCATAACATATGCAGACATCGTGACTTACAACAACGCAGGAGGCGCCACTGTTGAGCAAGATTCCACTACTGTATCAATGTATAGTTACAAGTCTGACTTGACTTGGATCGGGTATGACAATCCTGATACTATCGCTGCGAAAGTTCAGTATGCGCAGAGTAAATCTTTGCTGGGTTACTTCGCCTGGGCACTTCATCAGGACGATGCGAATTTCTCCTTGGCGTCAGCAGGTATGAATTGATGCAACCTCGGGTTCACATTTATTAACCAATTGTTGCAAGATTATAAAAACTTTAAATTTTTTTAAAAAAAAAAAAAAAAAAAAAAAAAAAAAACTCTTTTATCGGAATTTGCAGATACCTTGGTTTTGAAAATCTGTTAGTACTGGAAACTGTGGCTATGGCATTTCTAACTGTGAGCTCTTGGTCTGTGATCTGCAGCGCAAAATGCGTGGACGTAATCGAGGCTGCAAACTTGTAAGATGGAAGAACCCAACTGTTTAATGTACTAAACTAAAGATTTTTTTAGGGTTCGGGCTTAATTAAAAGGACAACAATATCTTTCAAAGGCATAGCCGATTCGGCTCAACAAGGTAATCTCAGCTGGAGGCAGAGCCATCAAAATTCAGCTAATAAAAGTATGATCAATGATCACGAATCATCTGTCATTACGTGTAAATCATCAACTAAAATTAAGAAGATTACATGCTGCACTTTACAAATAATTCATTTTGATTACAATTGAGTAAATTATGTTTGTCTGGAATAATTTTATTTGGTTTTGCAACTTTATATGACATGCTTGATTGATTACTTTTTACCAATTTATTGCATGGACGTCTATGAGTTCTTCTACGTATTTCAAAAGACTTTTTTGAAAAATGATATCAAGTATATTTTGTTCCATGTCATAATTGCTTAAAGTGATATATTTTTATACATGAGTTTGCTTTATATATATATATATATATATATATATATCTATAGCAAATTGTTAAATCAATCTTACATGTCATTATTTCAATCCCACCATCATAACCAATAATATGTTCTTGCCTCTCATTTCCATTCCCAGCCCACATCTTCCATTCTAACCTTCCAATCCCTCATCCAATATCCACCCACCCTCTCTACCCTCTCCCCAGAACAAACTATGTGTGTGAGTTTCTTCCAGAAGTACTTCACATGGTATCTAATCCTTCTAAGGCATTTGATTTTCACCAACTTAATTTGAAGTTGCACACTCTTCTTGTAATTGTATCACACATTGCAATTGTCCAATTTCATTCATAATGAATAAATCCAAGACTTGAATGCTTACAAAGGATTGAATCCATCATGTTTGCAATTCACCAAACTCAAGTTCTACATGTCAACAACTTAATTTAGATAAGCCTAGCTTCTTGGGATCTTGCTACATTTTTTATGAGATTGGACTTGGTTTATATACGAGAGGTGCTTCCAACCCTCATTTAGTCCATCATGTTCAATGTATGTTATTTGTATCCTTTTGTATGAAGCAATGTGGCTCCTTGTAAGCTCATACTCAACTTGGGATGGACAACTATAGGAGACTTTGGAGATGATGCAAGAATCAAATGCTTGTTCAAGCACATGCTCATGTTCTTTACTCAAGATTGTTGGGATTACAAACTTGTGATAACAAACTCACACAATTCACATGCATGCTTATTCCATATTTTTCTTTTCATTTGTAAATTAGTATAAAAAGCAATGCATCCGACTTGATATTTATGGCTTCTCTCCACATGCTCATCTCATTGTTGATTGCACATTTTTGTCAAATATAATACATGTGATATATTGATAACTTATAGCTCTGGAAGAAATTTACTTATGTAGTTTGCTGTTTAAGGGGGTTGGGATGGGTGATGTGGGCTAGGGGTGGGAATGGGGGATGGAGTTGGAAATGGGAATGGAAGACAAGGGATTGATATGGAGGACAGGGACCCACAGTTGGTTATGATGGTGGGGTCAAAATAACAATAGGTGGAGTCAATTTAATAATTCCATATATATATATATATATATATTGGCATTTGAATCTTTTATGAGATGTAATTATTATACTTTTTAATTTTAATTTTTTAAAAAAATTTATAGTACAAAATTGATTATAAATTGTTTTGAAATAATCCAAATTTATCAAGTGGTTTAATTATTGAAATGTAAATTTTTGGATGCATTCTAATTCTAAGTGAAAATTTTGATTTATGTAATTTTTAAAGCATTATATACATGATTGGTAAAAAAATTAAATATATTAAAAAATTAAAAAAAACTTGATTATTTCATAAAAAACACTTTAATTTAATAATACTATTTAGTCTCATTGATTCTTTAAATATTAAATATTAATTTTTTTAAAAAATATTATTTGATTAAATATTTAATTATATATTTTATAAATTATAGCTATGATTCAAAAATTAATTTTATTGATTTATTTCTTTAAGACATTAGAAATCACCCAAAAATGTATGTTTTCTACTTTCAAATAATATGGGCAAAAAAAAAGTTGTGGCTTATTAAAAAAACAATTCACAACTTATCATAAATTATTATAAACCGAACTTAAACTGATTTTTTTATCTATAAGATTCTTTAATAATGTTAAAAAAAGAGTTTGAAAAATCTTACAAATAATTAAGAAAATTAATACAAAAAAAATAACATATACTTCAAATAATTGTGAAAGAAAAGTTTTAAAAAAGTAAAATTATAAGTTTAATGGATCAAAATTTACTAAATATTTATATACATACAAACATACTTTAAACAAGTAAACTATATATATATATATTTATTGGGGTGAAAAAAAATTTATCCCTAATTTTTAGTACATAATTATATTTAAGAGAGAAGTCTAGAAGTGAATTTTTTTTAAATCCTTTAATTGGTTAAAATTAAGAAGCCTCATTTAATTAGAATTATATTTAAAATACTTAGTCTAAAAAAAAATTAAATTAAATTAAATTAAATTAAAAGAAAAGAAAAATAAAATAAATAAATTTAAAATTAAAATGGAATACATTGTTTTTCTATATAGCATGAATAACATTTTAAAGAGATTTTTTTGAAGCCCACATTTTTAAGACCTAGGAAAAAAAAGACAAGAAATTACAATTTCTCTAGATTATTATTGGTTGAAATCAAGAAGCTCCTCTTAGTTGGCTTTATATTTAGAATCAACAAAGAAACCATGGGAAGAAAATATGAGGTAGAATGCATATTGTTTTTTGCATGACATGAATAGTATTGTTTTCTAGATTTTATATTAAATCCATTCTAAAGAGCCATGTTTTAAATAGCTATTTTTTATATTTAAAATATAATATTTTATATTTTCAAAAATGATTGCAATTGAGATTTGAATTTCTATTTTAAAAATAAATATACACCTATGATTTGCATCATGCAATGATCTCTTCTTACTTTATACTTTCCCCAAACGCCAAGGCTACCAAATGATGACTTTTCTTTACCAAATATAATTGTGTTGATTTTTGAGGAGCTTGTTGATGCAAAAGATGGGCATCTGGAGCACGTTACAAAAGAGGACGGCGAATGCGACTTGGGTTTTCTGTGGCTGAGAAGGTTGCGGGACTTGCAACGCTGGCAATGACCGCAACTGGTTTCAAGCTCCCCGAACACCTCTCAGGGTACCATCACTCTTAGGGTACTATTCAGCATCCTCTTTTTCGCGGAATTCCTTACGGTTTCAATTCTCTGCTCATTTTTCCTCTGAGAAAGACATCAAGTACGTACCAACCCCTAAAGCTTGCGCAATATTTGCATATATCTGCACATTGTAGAACTGCTAAATCAGAAGTTTGTGCATTGTATGAGGAGAATTTCTCGCACACAATCGCCACTAGGACGACATGGATATTGCCGTGTGCAAGTTGTTTCTGAGGTGATTACAGACGGAAGGATCATTCAGAACTTCCATCTCGTCACGAAACCCTGAAAGCAGGAGGAACGTAATGATTTATGAACTATGTTAACCTTGTAGACGCCAAAATCGTTCAATGAAATCTGTCGGTTCGACTGGATAAACGATAGTCGACTGGATAAAATATACTTACATGCCCTGTTTTAATCGCATTATATTATACATTACAAATAGGGCAGAAGCGATGGAAGTGAAATAGGAGAAATAATAAAAACTTATATTTTCCGAAGGAGTAATTAAGCCCACGAACAGAAGCAGGAATAACTCAAGCGGTAATAACTGATTGCGAGGCTATCACGAAAAACAGTTTGTGAAGCTCAACCCTTATTCAAAAGTAAGTCTTTCATTCACAACCGACTCTGTAAGCCGCACCGAGTTCCACTCCAGCACGATGGTATCCTTATGTGTTCGGCTGTCGTAAGGACTGATGCCCTCAGATGTCAAGTCTCTCACACCATAGAAAGCGTCCCTTACACTTTTGCATCGATTGATGTATACAGACTTCAAGGCTGACCTTTCCACCCCCTATATTCAGCAATCCCAATGGAATATTTAGATTCCAACATAATATTTTCATTGATTGGGTGATGGGAATAAAGAGGATGCACAAGATCACTTAGAATTGGAAAAGGGATACAATCAGCATATTTAACAGATTTGAGAGAAGGAATCTTGGTGCTAAGATGCAATTACCTCAGAAAATGAGAACTTCTCATTTGCTGCATCACACAAGTCGATTGCAAGTTTTTGCAACAAGGGAAGCTGCCAGAACATTGACAAGCCTGCAGTAAGATGACTATGCAAGGAACTAAATAATCAAATGAATACATTCAAAGTTGTGATTTTCTATTGCAAGAGTAAAATCCATAATTCATCTAAAAAACAAGTTCTAAATTCAAGTCAACACGTACTCTTCTGATAGCTTCCAATATGAAGTACTCAGGCAACACCTTTCCCTGAAAACGTGAGAAGAAATAAGGTTAAGGAGAAACTATATCTCGTGAAGTTTTGATAAATGTCACAAGTTTTGATAAAAGTTTTGATAAATGTTCGAACCTAAAGCATCTTGAAGGCCGTCACGAATCTAGCTTGTACTTGTTGAAGACTTAATCAAATAACGTCATAGCGCTGCATAGGAAATTTATTTAATCGAAAGAAAAAAAAGAAAGAAAGAGTGAGACGATTACAATATGACGCAAGTGCAGCAGTTTCAACGCCGGGAAAGAATTTAATAAAAGCCGGACGTTTTCTTCAGTAATTATGTACTTACATTCCTGCACAAGTCCTCACAAAAAGCAGATGAATCGCATTTCTCTCACAAATGTATTATTGACAGGGCATAAAAGATTTGACCACCAAAGTACTAGATGTTTCATTTGTATCTTCCTAACGAAATACAATACTCGATCGATTGCCAAAGTCAATTACACCATTTTAATAGAGTTCTGACTACTTTGACTATATTCATATGATCACAACATATTACATGACAACATATTACATGACAACATCTTCATTAATTAATTGACTCATTGTGAAAGAACTAGTGACAAAACTACATGTTTAAACGAGAGACCCTGTTCTACACCTCAAGCCGAAGATCTTGAAGTCCACGCCAAGAATGTGCCATGGTAGACAGTGAAACTGCAATCAAAGGTCGAAGTCAAGGCTTGTGCAATCTCATTATTCTGCTTGCAGATGCATAACGAAAGGCTTATCTTAGACTCCATACTTTTGTGAAGAAAAGTAAAGAAGAGAAAATGAAGCTTTAAAAGAATCAGAAAGTGGACTGACGTTATCTTTACCACAAGCAAGGCTTTCCCTGAAACGTTCCAGTTACATTGGATGTATCCAAAGAGACCAAAGGATGAGATGCAATACATGCTTATGCAATATACCCACATCTTTGACAGCCGCTTATATTTTAAGGAATTTTCAGTCGTCTGTCCACATTAAAATGGTGTAGTTTAACATACAACCTTCTATTTGTGTCCCTTTTACAAGCAAATCGCAGAAGATACCAGCAAGGAAGTAAGGACATGAAATAACCCGGTTTAGGGCATCTTCTAGACAACATGCAAGAGTTCATTCTGGACAATTATTTCGAGTTCCTAAGCTTTTAAATGTTTCGGTATTTGCAAATGTTGATAAAATACTCTTGGGTATATCCAATTCAACATCAATACTGATTAACGATACCACAGCATTCGAATGAACAAGTTAAAAAACTTACTGCTGGTCAATAGATGGCACCCTAAAAGAGATAGACTCTGTAGTCCCGTGCACGATTGACTGAACAGGAGAAGATCATCATCCGAAAGCAAGGGTGTGACTCGCTCAAGCTTAAGGTTCCTTAAGTTTGGTAAGCTGGATGCGATTTCTGTTAGAAGGTTGCGTGGGGCGCATGCCATGTTTTGAAGCTCCAACGTATGCAGGGATTTCAACTGACTTACAGCTTGTATTAAGCCTTCATCGGCAACAAACTGTGCAGCACCAAAAATAACCACATCACCATCAGTTTCGGAATAAAAGATCTGTGTTGTTCAGGTATTTCTTATCTGCCAACTGAAAGTCGTCTTTACTTGACGAAACCAATTAATTACGAAGACTATTGTAATGTTCATTGGCCTCACCTCTCAAACCCAAACAGAGTGCTATTTATCGGCATCATGTCACCGGTTTCCGTTCTCTAAAAAGTAAGCCACCTTTGCAAAATAAAGCAGTTAGAGAAATGCCTTAGGAGTGTTAGTTTTGTATGTGTGAAAAGAAAACACTTACAAGGCCGAGAGAATGTGGAATGAGTTCCCACCTGAAAGCATAAAGAGAGTCGCTTCAATTCGTGACATTGCTCAGCAATGCACAACAGGGTCTCCTCACTGATGGTTCCACCTACTCCAACAGCAAAGTTTTGGAGCGTGCAGGATGCAAAACCAAACGACGAAATCGTTGAGTCTGATAAACCCCACCCAATTCCCACATTCTCCCACATTCTCTCAAAAGTTTTCTCAGATGGCAGATGGTCAAAAGAGTTCAGTGCCAGCTGTGTGCATCCTCGAATGTTCAAATCCTTCAAATCAAAATTCCTTGCCAAAATCCGGTAGAGAACTCCTCCAGAGACCTGTATTAATAACGTGAGTCAGGAGTTTGAAAGCAAAAGACTGCATAAATTGAAAACATCCAGTGAGCCAGAAAACGAAGACGTTGGAAATCGGGACACTAAAACAACCACAAACATTGAATAGTTCAAAAAAATCCACCTTTGTTTCTCTAATATTGAGGTGCCTCAAACTGGTCCCAGAGAATGCTGAGAGAGCCATGTCATCGAGTCTGGTAAAGGCAAGTTCTAAAGAGACCAAAGAGGGCAATACTTGCAATAAGTTGCTCAGGTGTCCACACCCCAGGGCTGAAAATCACCATGAAAACATTCCAATTTAAAAACTAAAAAAGGTTAAATCAGAGGATAAACAAACAATAAAAACATAAAAAAATAAAAGAAGAAGGGAAAAAAAAAAAATAAATAAATAAAAGAGAAAAGAAAAAGAAGGGGGGGGGGTAGGGGGACAATGCTAGTGACGTAATGCTCATAAATCAGATGTTAACACAAACTAAACTATCACACTGGAAGCAACACAAATACATCTACCAACTATGTCCCAAGATGATGTAACGCTGACAATACCTAAACATTTGTTAAGATTCAAGGTATCCAGAACGTTAACTGAAATATTCGCTTGCGATATCAGTGCTTTGCAAGAAACTGGGCCAAATCTTGTGCCAGCAGCAGAGAGTTTCTGATGAAAAACTCCCCAACAGTTCCACTTTAGCTCAGTCAATCAAGAGTCGTTGAAGAATGTTAATGTATCATCATTAGCAAGTCTACCTTTGATTAGTGAGTAAACAGACCCCATTCAATGAACCTACCTGGAAAGCAAGATTTTCCTGAAAATTCAAAAAAGCTGCAAAGCCGACATCGCTCAATTCCAAACAGCCACCCAAGTCCACTACCCGAAGTAATGGACAGCTCCTTGCAATGAACAATAGAATTTCATCTGACAGAAGCAAGATCCATCAATACAATTCCATGAGCAAATAGTTCCTGAATTAGAGGCATGGACGCCAACCAAAGGTTGATGAGAATCTATCCTTCTGAAAATCATGATAAGATTATATTGCAACGGATTGGACATGCTGTCAAAGTAATACAAGGAATTAACCTGTAATCTCCGAATGGCCCCGTAATGAAAGGTCTGTTAACTTGTTGGTTTCATGCAGTTTTCCAAAAGACCACCGCAAAGGTAATCTTTGTGAAATTGTTGACTTTGTTCTGGTCACAACTCCCTCAATTTCCACCAATTCTTCGGATACAGACAAGTCAAGCACTGAAAGATTTGGAAGACCAGAACCAATTTCCAGAATCACCTGCAGTAACTGGGGACAATGTGGTGCTCGAAGCTCACGAAGATTTGGGCATACAAGATTTAGCCAAGTAACTAGATTCCTCTGTTCAACACGCCAGCAGTGGGACAGAATCAGTGTCTCTAGATTGATGAACTCTGCAAGTTCCGGCCATGTTTCCTGCTCAATTGTAACCAGAGTCTTCTGTGCTATCCTCTTAGGTTTCATTCCATTTTGTGCTGCCGCTGAAATCAAGTGGTGACAGGTGATCTGATGACAGCCAGATAAATCCAACTCCTGCATCCAAGAATCAGTGGTTTGATAAGGTACTGACCAAAACAAAATTGAAAAAAATATAAATTGCTATCCGTCATGGTCCACATGGCACGATATAAGCGTGCGAACAGTTACCTTTAAATGATCCGTAAGACGTATTACAGGCTTGAAATTCAAGTAATCTTTGACTGGCTTCGCAGCCAGCTCACCTTTGAAGTCAATAATTGAATTTAATACATCCACATCCGATTCAGTTGCAGCTACTGATACGTGAAAAATATTCAACGGATACTTCCCTACCAGTTCCCCTAAAATGCAGTACAAGATAAACGTCAGGATAACGTGGTCGACTAATTTTAAATGATCAAGATCAACAGAAATCTCGAGCCTCAACAAAAGGACTAAGCCACCTGGCTACATGATGTAAAATACTTTTACTGCATGTACGCACCGAGATACCAGGTTTTCTATATGTGAAAATAGCAATAGCTGTTATTGATTATCACGTCAGGAAATTACAGCTGTTTGAAACTGTAAGATCCAAAAGTTAAGTAAAATTTTAATAGATTCTCAACGAAGAAGCAAGATAACTCACTTAAGATAAAATCAATAGGCAGCAGATTCAGTTGTATCTGTACAACAAAAAATAAATAAACACCAACCAAACGATCTTCTCATGGTTAGAATTCGCCAAATTTGCCATACAATGGTTGCAAAAAATCCATTTCATAGCCATTTTTGCACGCAGCAAAGCCTTGTATGACACTCCATTATTCACATGACTAACCTTTTTGAAAAGCAAAATTGGATCGTCAACAACGGCACCGTTACGTGAGTTACGTTTTTGACTTTCGTACCACAGTAGCAGTGCTTTACACAAATCCATTTCACTGCACAGGATAGATTAGAATATCTCAGCATTACTTCAGCACATGCACCAAGAGTCTCGACGTTAACTAAAAGAACAAGCTATCTACGTATTGATACAAAGTGCTTGCAGCATGTCATGTTCTTATTAGAACCGCCATTCTTCTCAAACAAAATCAAAAAGAAAATCCCGATAGTTCTGACCTTTAAATCCGTCAGTTCGCCGATTAGAAGCAGCAGAATATACTAACCTTTTAATTGTGAGCTGTGGATGGTCAATACTGGCTTCAAGCAGTGACAAAGGCAAAGTAACAAAACTTTCCTGACGCATCGCCTGTGCCTGCACAATGTCAGGTTCAATCCTCGATTAAGTCCAAATATTCTTATGACATCATCTTCAAGCATGTTCTATGTCAATACAGCTCAAAATAAGTTCTACTTGATTCACAAGTTTTTAAGGATGAACATAAAAACTCACAAAATTGACAGCAAGACTCTTGATACAAAGCTGCTCGATAGATTTCACACCTTCATGAAACAAACAAACAAACGAACGAACAGAATTGTTATTTAGCATATAAGCAATTATGTTGTAAAATCACGCCTGCACAGTGGTAAATAAGAGATGGTTTGGAAATGAACAAGCAACAACGAATCAAATCCACGCACAATTCGGAAAAGGTTCACACCATTTACTGTGGCGGAAAGCCAAATCGATAAAAGTTCGGAAACAAGGTCGTCCTCAATTTTCCATTTTACGCAGAACGTATCGGAAGCTACCCAGGCCTTACACTTGGTGATGACATCCTCCACACCAAAATAGATAGCTCCCTTCAAAAGTTAGATGAAATTAATTGCTGTACGAATAACTTGAGATTATCTTTCAAACTCTAAACGATCATGAACCACTTTGCATACAAAAGACTAAACAGATTATGAAAAGAGAATGTTTTGTTCACATACCTCAATAAGTGAAGCAATCATAGACGAAGATAAGCAAGGCTCAAAACCATGGATGCATCGTAAGAGATCGCAGAAAATAGGAAGACTCCAATTCACGTTTAAGCTTTCACAGTTGCGTTCACTGAACACATTACCACTGCTATTTTAGTAGGAAAAAAGAAAAGGTGCAGTAAAGATGAAAAGTAGCAGCTATGTTGAATTCAATACCACGAATATGCACGTCTATTGTTTTAAGAATAGTGTGCAATCAATAATTATTTCAGGAAAGAGTTGCCAACATTCACTCTAAACGAAGAACCCTCTTTCTCAATCAGCATCTGAAATTCAAATGTAGAAGGCCTCTATTCCACTTCCAGAAATTTGACATCTTAAGAACACAGTGCATCATCACTTTGTACAATCCCAGTTACCTTAACAAGTATATACGAATCACAAGTTAAGAAAGCATAATTTACTGGTTTGTGTACCTGAAGTTCAAGTAACCTTTGAAGTAAGTCGAGTGCTGTGAAAGCCTGAAAGAAGAATTCAGAATGTCAATGATCTCAATAGCAGTACAATATATTGAAATTTTTGCATTTCAACCATAACAATTTACAATATCACAGATTTCTGAATTTATATAATACTGGTCACACGCTGCACGTGTTATACACTTTGAGCCAAATGACAGTTTCATTTGCATTCGATATGCTACATCGAAGATATTTCGAGTGATGGCCATTGAGTTACTTACAGCTCCTTGTCGACACGAATGCGAATCTCATTCAATGTAAATGAGTCTGCAACAAGAGACTGCCATTCTTCACACCCCATCTCCTGCCCATCGATTTCTCTGGACAAACTCCTTTTCCGTGAGTCGTGATCACCCTCGGTGATCACCAGCACCACGGAATTGCTGAAGTCCTCTTCCATCTTGTGACCTGGGTCGCTGAACTATGAGGGTAACGATGTGATTAAATAGAAATGAATTTAGCAACGGTCATCGTTCCTAAGTTTTCTGTGTCTTGTAATGGTGAAATCATCGACGTAGCTCATCGTCGCAAATTCCCTCCCACTTCTTTACTTCTACAGAATACCCTACCTAAACAAGGATATACTGTAGAGCCAGACAATTATCGACAATACGAATTCGCGCAATCCAATTGAGGAAACACCGGGCACCAAGACATGGGTTGAGCACTCTTAGCTCAAAAAACCAAATAGGGCTACACGCACACCAAAACACCAAAACCCCATTGGCGTAGTAGTGAAATGACCCAACAAACATAATATGCTGCCAAAGGAATTTCCCAGCTGTAGAAGAAGAATTGAGTCGAGGCAATCACAATTCGTTAGAGATAATCGATAGCTTCAATCCTACAAAACCATTCCAAATCCTGTACAACTATAAACACCTGCATCCTCCCAGAACAGGAATGCTCTCCGTTGAGCTCTTCCTGCTTCTGATCCATTCTGCCCTGCTCCAAAATTTCTGCTACTGTACAAGTGATGCAATTGCGGAGCCACACTCAGATGCCAACCACGGCATGAGAGCGGTGCAGCCTTCCGTGCCATAACCTATATGAGTGGTGTGAATGGGGCTTCAGATGCGGAGGTTTGAAGGAAACGTGGGATGGGGATGAATGTTGCCGTGGACGATCGATCAGCGTTTGAAATACAATCAGCTAAAAGCATCTACTGAAATGTTTAGTATTCTGTGAGCTCTATTTATACGAATTTCTGCGCAAACTTGGATAATTTCAAAAACAGCTGAGACATTTGATGGGTTCCGATGCGCTGCTTCAATGGGTATTGGAGGCTTGAAGAGATATCAAACCAAGATAGAAATCATCAGAGACATACTTAAGTGCAATAAGGGAGACGTTGCATTTCGAGAACAATAAGAATGATACGTCGCAGCCGACAATCACTATATTTAAACGCGAGGAGGCAAGCTCATCAAATAGACGTGGCTAAAATTCACATAAAGACCTGTGGAATAACTTTGACTTCACAACAATGAAGCAGACAGGGCTGCAATGATCACTGACAGCAATAAAACAGGACACCTAACTATTACAATTAAAGACGAGCTTGGAAACACTCTCGGGGCTTCGAAAGACAAGGTTGGAGACATTGCTCAGAACCTAAAGATGTGCGTCTATTTGGTTACTCTCAGTCCTCATGAGAACAAATCTCTTCTGTGAACTCTGTAAGCTTACATACATTTAATAACCCACCCTTACTCTAGATAGCAGGTTTCAGGAATAAGACATAGAAGCCGCAAGTATAGAACATTCACACAATATGGCTGCGTCAAAAAAATGACCCCTACATGGATGGTTGCCACAATGATTGAATTCCACAATCTTTCTCGTGCATCTAACTTTACAAGTTGATTATCGGCTAATGCATTAACTGCGGGCAGTAACATAGCGTACTCCTCCAAAAAGATAAGAAGTAGCAAATGACCTACGACAAGAGTAAACCTGAAGACCTAATTCTTGGGGATGTTCTTGCCCACTATCTTTGCTGGTGTGATTCTGAGGAGGTTGCCTGGCTTTCCGGGTACCGAACCCTTGATGAGGAGAGCGCGGAGCTCAGGGTCGACCTTCACAATTTCCAACTTGCGAATCTTGGCTCTGCCGCTTCCCATTTGACCAGGCATCTTCTTTCCAGGATAAACTCTTCCGGGCGTTGTTCCAGCTCCAATGGAACCAAGCTGCCTCTTAGACTTGGAACCGTGAGTCATCTGACCTCTGGCGAAATTGTACCTCTTAATACCACCTGCGTTATGCAATTACCAAGTTAACAAGAGAGTTCACGGGGGTTTCTACCGCCACTCATCAATACGAGAGGCACGAATTATGTCACAATCGATCTTGAATGAACAGAGTCCCGCCTGGAAGAAAAACTACACTTCAAGAGATTCTCTACAAACCTGAGATCAAAAGTAACTCCGACCACTAAGCTTCTTAGGACCATGCAGAAATCTCATTTCATACAATCATATTGTCTACAGCAATAATTCACCAGAGACCAAAAACCCACTGAGAAAACAGAGTCTCAATTTCAAAAACTTGTTCAAATCAGTCGAATTAAGACCCGAGAAGAAAGCAAAGAAACAAGTCACAATTTCCTGACCTTGAAAACCCTTTCCAATGCTGTTACCAACGACATCGATCAAGTCGCCTTCCTTGAAAATCTCCTCCAGTTGGAGCACCTGGTTGGGCTCGTAACCCTCTGCAGAGACCACCCTGAACTCCTGCAAATGACGCATGGGGATGGCGCCCACCTTGTTCAAGTGCCCCAGCTGCGGCTTCGTCAATTTGCGGTCCCTAACTCTCCGGTAGCCAACTTGCACAGCCGTGTAGCCGTCGGTCGCGTCCGACTTCACCTGGGTGACAATGTTCCCTTCGTGAAAACCAACAACGGTGCATGGAACGGCCTTGCCGTCTTCCGTGAACACTGTCATCATGCCCATCTTAGTGCCCATCATGCCCACGCCGGCTTCCAAGCATCCCATGGACACAACACCCCCGGAGGACGAGGAAGAAGAACCCGACGAAGCAGCAGCACATTGCGCCGCGACACAGGAACGAAGGTCTGCAGAGGGAGCCCCTGAAGGAAAGCTCACTTTGAGGCCATGGAACGCCGGCAACGCCACAGTCATCGACCTCGCAGCAGAATTAGAACCAGAATGCGACTTCTGGCATAATAGCGTCGAAAAACTTGCAGTGACAGCGGAAATGGACGCCGCTGACGACATTGGAAAGCTGTCGATGTCACGCAACCAGTGGAAAAAACCTCCGGCGAGCTCGTGGATCACCTCCGGAGCAATTCCGCGATACGACGAAGAGGGGATTGCAGACCTCGCAAACGATGCCTCAAGGGAGCAAGAGAGAGAGTCTCTCTCTCTGTCGCTGTGGATAGGGTGAGGACTCTTCTCGCCCCTCCTGGTTGGGAACATGTTCCCTTGCTTTGTGCTCACACTGGGAACCGTCGATCCACCTCAGCGGGTTTCGGAGTCCACGTCGTTGAATTTCTGTCCACGTAGGCGTATTTTTTTGGGGTGACATGGACTTTGTGGTTGTGTGATGGGAATGAGAACTTGTGGGGCCTCTCGCTTCTGGTATTATGGACTATTATTCTTATTATGTTCTGGTCTAGTGCATTCTTTTAGTTTGGAATTAGGGTTTGGATTCTGCTATATTCTTTCAATATTTTCCGTTTGTGTAGGTTTCAAAGCATAACCCACCTCTTCGTCTGTGTTGTTGTCAAGCAGATATGGTTTGGATTCCTTGTGTAGATTTCATTTTGAAAAGTCAGCAGTTGTTTTTGTAGCTCAATTTCTCACTTTTATTGCTTTTTGATGTGGAATTCCATTAGTGCTGGTGTTTTTTTTCTTTTTTTTTTAAATCTATATTTTCTTTAAATCTTAAAAAATTAAAAATTAAAAAAAAAACATTAATTTTTGTTTAATTTTTTAAAAATCCATTGAAATCAACTACAAAAATTAGATAAGTCTTGGATAATACCTTCTTTAAGAAGTCTTTTTTTGCAATTTAAAGACCTAATATAAAGAATATTAAATTATGCCTTTTAATTTTAAAATGTGGATAATTTTTTGCTTTGATCATAAAACTAACAATAAAAGAAAATTTAAGTTAATTTTTTTTAATGTTTTTTTATGTTTTTATGTTTAATATATATATATATATATATATATATATATTATTTAATTTCTTCATGTTCAACCACAATATGGTCATTTAAGATTTGCAATTAGGACTTTAGACATTTAAGAAAAAAAGATTAAAAATAAAAACTATAGAATAAGTCTACTTTTGTTTTTTATGGTTTTTTAAAATTTCTATTATAAAATATATTAGGAGGGGGGGGGACATAAATCAATGAGATAAACTAAAAAGACAAATTGGTCTTTTGATTGGTTGGATTTTTCAATCATCATTGTTCTCATGAAAACTTAACTTAATTTACTGATTTATAGGGCCTTAACAAAAGCAATCTTAAATTAAGGTGGGCCATGTGGTATTTTGCATTTTTTTACATTTTTAAGAGTAATTTTTGTAGTTTTCTTTGAGATTGTAAGAGAGCACAAATTCAAAAATAAATAATGATTTTATTGAAAGAAGTTGAAAAAATTGCATTCAATGAGATAAAGACGTCATGTATGTTAAAAATTTCATTGTTAGTAGTCTGTGATCTATGGCACAAGCTCCTTGTAAATTGACTACAAATTATTTTGTGTAGTAGGACAAAAATGAACATTAAAGAATATAATGCCAAAGTCAAAGAAAGAGACCAAATTTGTGAAATACCAGGAATACAATGTCATGGTTAAAGAAGCAATGCTTGAAATATTGAAACTACAACCAAAAGAATCTTTTTTCATGTGATTGCAAATCCAAATTTGTGTGCTTGATGATCTGCCTTTAAGTGAGTTTTAACTCTTAGAATCTCGTCACCAAAGTTGATTATTGCAAGTACATCAAACCTCTACAAATTTAACTCATAATATTTGATTATGTGATTATAGAAATGTAGCAAAAAGGCCAGTAATAGTGTCGACTTAGCAAATTTCATGTTGCTTTAGTTAAGGTGGTTGTAGAGTTCAAAGTGGATAAAGTATCAAGGACATGAATCTCAAAGAAAGAAAACTCAATATACTCTTGTGTCACTCAAAAGATTAGAAAGTCACTCAAAGATGGTACTATATTGAAATAGAATGGCTATTGCTACAGACAAAAAGACTAGAAAGTCTTGAAACAAGACTAAAGACTAGAAAGACATTGGCAAGAGTGAAAAAGGCTTCATTCATGCCTCTATATATACTATCTAATTAGAAGTTATGTGGCAATGTTTTATAAGACCTCTAATACATGTTGACTTTGCAAGTCATATAACTTAACTTATAAGATAAGTTTTTTATATGAGCACCACATAATTAGCTTGTTTTATGAGCTACTAATACATGTAATATGTAATTAATTTGTTAATCAAGTTTCTAACTTATCAATTAACTATTGACAAATATAATATCAAAGCATCGTTTATAAAGATTCTAGGAAGCTTTTTCTAGAAAATTATTATGTAATTAATTTACTTTTATCTAATCAACTTAATCATATATGTAATTATTAGAATAAATATATATTTGTGTCACAGACATAGAAATACAGACTCAATATCTAATAAGAAGTTTAGGAAGAACTGGCAAGAACTAGATTAATCAGATGAGAACAACACCAGAGAGGTGAGCTAGAGCTCTAAGAGATGTATTGTCGAGACTGAAGAACTCTTCAGCCTCGATTCCAATATATACTTCTATTTAGGAAGCTTCTCAAGCAACTTCTACCAACTAGGAAGCTTCTAAAAGGTTCCAGAGACTTGCTTCTAGAAGGTTCTAGAAACTTGTCTCTAGAAGGTTCTAAGGATTATGTCCCTAACATCACCCACTCCTTTAGCTTCGAGGTCTCTGAGAAGTAATATTGTTTGATCAGTACTAACGTAAAAAAATGAAGATCTGTTGCATAACGTCTGGTATGAACTCCAATTGTTGTTCACGAGGCAAGTGGTTCATCGACCCTTGAAGCCAACGATAGTGGCCCACTCCTTCAACTTCTGACCAAGCATGAACTTCCGTGTCTTCATTGTGAAATTATCCTGCAAACACGCCTTCTGGCTAACCATCGTAAGTAGGCTCGGACTCAAATACAATCACCAGTGATTGGTTACTCGCTATCCTCCATCGTCGTCGTGGTGTAGGTGGTTCTTCATCTTGGGGTCGCCTTCGTGAGCTAATCGGTTGAGATAATCTGACTGGCATAGTATCTATCTCTTGGCTATCCATATCAGAAGACCAAACTATGGCTACTAAAAAAATTCCAATTTAACTTGGAAAAAATAACTACATCAACTACGAATTTTGGTGGTGCTCTCCCTCTTTCTTATATTCTTGGGTGAGTAAGCTTCAGAAAGAAGCTATCGTCGAACCGGCTTAGGTTTATGAGGATGTTGTTGATGAAACTCTTGTACCTTTTGTGGCGCATTGGCGAGATTTTTAGCTGGCTCCCACGTTTGCTCATTAATGTCGTAGCTGCACCAATGAACAAGATACTCCAACTTGCCCCACTTTCGCCGTGAATCCAGTATCTTTTCAACCTCGTATTCCTCGTGGTTCTCGATCTCAATACTAGGTGGCGGACATAGTACTCTTCCAGGAAAAGACGACTCTCGATAAGGCTCTAACAGAGAAACATGAAAGACTGGATGTACCTTCATAGAAGCTGGTAATTCCAGACGGTACGCCACTGGATTGATTTACTTCTGGATGATAAATGGTCCCAATCTTCGATAGTCCAACTTATCACATGGTCACTTGGTCTTGATATTCTGTCGAAGAAGCCATGCTTTATCTCGAATTTTGAAAGTAAGTGCTTGATTCTGAAATCTATCTACAGACGCCTTGTAGGATTATTGAGCGGATTGTAATTGAAGCTTCAATGTATTTTGAAGCTCTGATAATTGTTTCGCAAATCCTTCAACTACTGAATTGTTATTTGTTGACGGACTCAATAAATCAAGCTTTGGATGATATCCATAGTTGAAAAAGAATGGTGTGTATTGAGTCGATGCATGGAGGAAGTTGTTATATGCAAACTCGGCTAGCGACAAATATGTGGTCCAATCGTCTTGCTGATAGTTGATGCTGCATTGTAAGTAATGTTTCAAGACTTAGTTCACCTGTTCCGTTTGGCCGTCAGTTTGAGGATGAAAAGCCGAAGAAAGCTTGATATCCACCTTCAGTATCTCAAAGAGAGATCTCCAAAACTTTGATACGAACTGGATTCCTCAATTTGATACGATATCATCTGGTAGTCCATGATATCGATACACATTATCGAGAAAGAGCCTTGCTGTGAATTCACTGGACGATGTCTTCTTGCAAGGAACAAAGTGCGTCATCTTTGTAAGCCGATCTACCACGACAAAGATGTTGTCAAATGAGTTCGATGATAGAAGGTCAGTAATGAAGTCCATGGAAACTGAAGACCATGGTCAACGTAGAATCGATAATGGTTGTAGGAGTCCATAAGGGCGATGCCGAGGATTCTTGTATCTTGAACAGATGTCACAGAGAGGACAAAACCTTTCATATCTTTCCACATTTGGAGCCACCAAAAATCTCGAGAAATAAGCTCCAAGGTCTTGTTGAATCCAAAACATTCCGCAGTTGGAAAATCATAGTGAGATTGAAGAACTCGGAGTTGTGTTGGTCCTTTTCGGATATACAACCGCTCTTCAAAGTATAAAAGATCTCCCTCCACCTTAAATTTGTCGTCATTGGTACGTTGCTTGATATCAATGGCTACTGAATCTTTAATGGTCGCGACACATACATGATTTAAGAAGTCAGCATCAATTGGCACAATAGTAGCGTAAAGCCAAAATTGCTTTGGCTTCAACAACGTCATACATTGTTGATCAAACGCTACTTCTGCAGCCTTTGGTACAAGATACAATCTCCTCGATAAGGCATCAGATAGTCCTTGCTCCTTTCTAGGTCGATAAGTGATAACAAAATCGAACCTAGATAGCAACATACTCCACCGAGCTTGACATGGATTTAGAACTCGAGCCGACATGAAATACTCCAAATTCTTGTGATCTGTGTATACGGTCACTGAGTGTGCAGCTCCTTCAAGAAAATGATGCCATTCTTGGAAAGAATCCACTATAGCAAGAAGTTCCTTATCGTGAATCTCATAATTGATTTTAGCAACAGAGAACTTTCGAGAATAGATCGGAACCGGATGGAGCTTCTTGTCTTCTCCCATTTGTGAAAGTATAGCTTCCAAAGAAAAATCCGAAACATCAGTTTCTAAATAAAAGGCCTTCGTAAAGTCTGAATGTACCAAGATTGGAGCCGTAGTAAATGCGATTTTT